GTAAAACAAATTTTTGTTTTCAACACTAATATTCACAACAGTTATAATAATTTCATATAAAATATAAACTTCAGATAAAAAAGCACTAAAAACTCGGATCTCATATGATATTCACATAAAAATTATTGATTTATAACCACAAAAGCATTGAAACACTTATGAAGTGCAGCGATATGTGTGTCAAAAGTCTGCCAAACAATAGCTTTAATACGAAAAACAAACAACAAATCAATTAATAAAATAATTATTATACAAGAGTTTGCATTCAATATATGTGTCAAACGTATGGCCAACTCATCATTGCGTACATCGACTGCAAACTTAGCACTCAATTAACAAAAGTGTTGTTAACTGTTATGTGGTTATTGTAGTAATAGTTGCGTCAAAACAATACTTCAATACATTTGGTGGCAATGATTACAACCGATGAATCGGATGTACAGTATTGGCAGCACCGGGAGTCCGCACACCACTGATCGCACACTAAATCAGTGCTCAACTGTTGCTCGCATTTACAGTACAGTTATGCGACACAAAGGGTTAACCCATGGGATGGTTGTGTTGTCTGCCAAACAACTGTTTGCCGACAAATGCCATTCAAAACATTAAAAGTCCTTAAACTTGATGATCGCTCAGTCGTGTCACTGCCAGCGCACACCCATTGGCTGTTGTCGTGGCAACCGGTCGTACGATACGCGCGCACCCAATGGGCGCTCGCACTGGCCGTACACTCGCTGTTCACGTGCTCACTGGCGCTCACTTTCAAACACATGTTCATCGACTGCTTGTTTGTGTCACTCAGTGGCTGACAGTTGACAGCAAAACATAAACAAAACTAATTATCGCTTATTATATCACTTATTAAAAGTATAGCACATGTGACATGTGTTATCATCCAGTTCAAATAATGGTGTTTCATATGCAGTGTTAAACTGTGTATTCAATTGTGTGTTCATAACACTGTTAATTAAATAGCAAATTAAGTATAAAATTTTTTATTTATTTTAAACGTTTTGTAATTAATTGAATAGAAATATTAGACAATTTGTATAATAATAATAGACTAATATATATGATATAAACAACAAAATAGTTTGTTAATATAAGTTAAAGCTATTTATATACGGTATATAGAAAGTGACGTTTAATATAAACATCAATTGAAATAGTTATACAGTATATACGGTAATAATAATAGTGATGTCAATACTAATATAATGGTGACATAAATATGTGATCAATGAATAGGTGTTGCGTTAAGCCGGGTGTCAAACACTGCTATCATAACGAGTAAAACGATTGCAATGACAGGTCAATCATAAGCCAGCAATTGGTGTGATTTAGTTGTGTCTAAGTTTGAGACTTTGGACAAATCGGTGCAACTCTTGCTCGTAGTCCTGCTGGTGGTCCCGATAGTGGAGGACATGAGTGGATGTGTCCCAACACTTGTGGCGCACGTTGTGTCCCAATCGGGTCCACAAGTCTATCACCTTCTCGTTGTTGGCCACAGAGCTCACCACATCGTCCCGTGAGTACAGAAACAGACCTGCAATGAGACAATCGATGGTAATTAGCATTCAATCCATACAGACATGAAGTGGTGGTGACTACTGACCCGAGTATTTGAGGGCCGGGTGGAAGTACATGCGCTCACAGATGTCGTAGTACTTGACGATCGGTTTGCAGGTCTTGAGAAACAATTTGATGGACGACTCGATGATGGGCTGCACCACTGGATTCAATGTGATGGCCCGCGACAGACCCGGCGCACAGTCGTCGGCGAACACCATGGAGTCCAAGACTATGCCTTTGATGGCATTCAGGATGTGTTTGTTGTCCTCGTTTTTGGTCAACTCATTCAAAGTGAGTCCAAACTGATAGCCGCCCACAGAGAAGGCGTGAACCACTATCTCGTTGTATTGGGCGTACAGTTGGGACAGACTTTGCACCAAATTCTTGGCCACCACTTGACCGCCGAGTGGAGGCATCAGCAGATCAAACGGCGATGTCTTGACGGTCAACACATCGAAGCCTTTCTTATACCACAACTGCCTGTACTTCTCGACGTGTTTGTCCTTCGCCAACATCCACGTGAAGATGACAGTCAGTGGTCGTCGTGTGGTTGCGATGGGCATCGACTCCGCGAACCCGGTGTCCAACAGTGCGTACGAAGAACTCGGCGAACAGTGCCGTAAAATCATGCCTTTCGGCAGATTTATCTTATTTATAGCCTGTATTTTGGTGGCGCCATATGTTGGGGTCAATTGGGTCTGTGTTTCGGTGTCAGAAAATGATTGATAATTAGATTTTGTGATTAAGTGATTGAAATTAAATACAAAGTTCTAATCAATTCGTGCCAATGGTCTGAATGTTTGGTGTTTGGCAACATTTATGTGTTCATTATCTAGTTGTTTG